AAATGTGTGTATTTCACAACATGCTTTGAACTACAACAAATAAGTGAAATGATGGGTTGTATGTTTCTTTAAAGCAAGAAAGCTATTTGAGCCAATTCCTCCTTTAAATTCTTACATGCATTTGTAGAGTTATCTGTGTCTATAAAAGACATCATCATCATAGGTAAGTAGCTTGGATTACATTCATCCATTCAACACTTTTTTATTGTTTCTACTGCCTGCTAGTCATTGAACAGCAGTCAACAAGTCCAGTTGGGAAAATACATCTTTTGATAATTGCTTATAAANTCCCTTTGCAATAAATTATTCTTATTTGAAATGGTACACACAGCTTTAATTATTTGTTTATTTAATTTATTTGTGACTCTCCTTTTTCCCCATGTATTTCCTTCCTCTCTGAAGTCTTTCCAAAGAAACAGTTCTGATGTTTTGGGTACATGTACCTACAATTATTATAGCAATATGAAGAGTTTATAAGGACTAGTTCACTTTACCTGTTAATTAGCTCATTTTGCTTAGTAGTGTTTTTACTTATTTTTTTATTTAGAACCTTCAATCTATTAATTTATAGTTTAGCTGGATCTGAAAAAAAACTAGTAAACAACATTAAATTTAAGTGCTATTAAAATATTAAGATGCATTTTAAAGACTCAGACTTCTTTAGTAAACATAGAATAGATTTGTTTATCCAGTCAGTAAAACATACCCTTTTAGTCAATCTAGTCGTAGTATATTAGCTTTACATTGACATATATTCTTTGCCAATCCTCTGTGTCATACATAGTATGTTAGCTTTACATAGACTAAATCAAGTAATATCGCCATGACTCCATTGGACAACTGTACTACTTACTTTAACAGAGTGCAACGATAACTATTCTATTTATTTTTTATTAAATTTACAGGCGTGACATTGGTTAGTAAAATCATATAGGTCTCAAGGGTATAAGTCTATAACATCATCTATATATTGCATTATGTGTTCACCACTCAGTCAATTCTCCTTCCATCACCATATGTTTGGTCCCCTTTATCCTTTTCTACCTCCCTCCTCCCTGCTCCCACCTCACCCTCTGGTAAACACTAAACTGTTGCCTATGTCTATGAGTTTTTGTTTGTTTGTCTTGTTTGTTTGCTGCCTTCAGTTTTCCATCCCACATATCAGCAAAATCATATGCTTCTATTTTTGATGGTTAATTGTATTTCT